AAATCCCAGCTGAAAGAGCTCAGAATTTTGGCATTTGGGTTCCTCCTCCACTGCTACTTGTTATTGTGAAACAAAACAATTGATCTTAGTGTGAAAGATGCTTTCAAATATTCACATATTGCTACATGTTTTAAAATTGTAGGAATGCACATGAAGTATCACAAGAAGATTAGTAGAAAATGTCTAGCTTTATATGAAGCATAATTATGACATTAACAAAAAAGGAGGTATTATAATTACTGGAATTTTTGACATCTGTTGCTATATCAGGTCTCTCCAGACATATTTGTATGATTTTTTTTTCAATTAGAAAAGACAAAATAAAGAATCCAATATATTTTCTATTTCAATTACCTATCTGAAAACTGAAGGCAAATTACATAATAAAATATACATTCTTTTTTAGTAAGTACTTCTCTGCTTCTTTTAATATATGTTGTTTCTCTATATTGAGTATACAGCATCAATTTCCATATGCATTTATTTTTAAAAGAAAATGATTATTTAAACAAATAGCATCATGAACTTCACACTAGCTACAGTTTAACCTATACTTTTGAAACCCTTTTCAGGTCCTAAGAATTGTTTTTAAGGGCCTATAATTATATTGCCCTTCAGAACTTAGACAGTGTATTGAATCATATTATCTTAAAAAACTAAAACTCATAGTAACTATGTAAGGCAAATATTATTTATTTCCCTTTGCAAATAAGGCACGCTGCTTGATCAAGAAAACATCACTCATGATTGATAGCAACTAAATGTTAAAACTCAATTTCTAAATTCTAAAATAATAATTTTTAAACTGGACTATTACTATTCAAGTTACCTGATATTCTTCTTTGTGTCATTTTTACTACTGATGGGGTGTAGGATACAATGCACCAAAATAAGGTACATCGAAGGCCACTCTGACCTTTCCTGCTTTTCTGTCCATAAAATATTTTTCTGGTCTAACTTCCCTGTAAGTAGATCATAAGACTCACATATGACAGGTGTCCAACCCCATGCCCAGGAAACAGGAACATCATACAGTCATAGAGAAAGGAATCTAAACACACAGGCCTTGCTGGGTCCTCCCTAATTTATTATCACTAGACCATACCCCTTTTTATTCAATCATGTTTCCCCACAACTGTCTACTTCTTTCATCAGACATTACATATAAATACAGTTTTCTCTGGGTCTTCATTGTTGAAGTGTCCTGCGTTATGTACAAATTTGGTTAAATACATTTCTTTTTTCCCCTGTTAATCTGGGGTTATTAGGGTATCAGCCATGAACCTTGTAGTGTGCAAGGAAAATATATTATTATTTCCTCTCATGCACTATCCAGGACTTTGGCTAACATCATAAGCCTTTAGTAAGATGAAGAAAGCTAACTGTTAGAAAAGTGGAGAAAAACGTGCCACTTTAAGCAGAGAGATAGGTCTAGACTAGATCTTGCAGGGTGTGTTGCTAGACAGTAGCAACAACCAGTGGTTTTGAAAAGAATGGACAAAAAATATCACCAAAACAAATTAAAGAAAAAAAAACAAATAAAACCCCTACTATTTCTACTTTCTGAGGCTTTGTACTGGACTCCAACAATGAAACAATAAAAAGACAATGGGCCCTTTCAATATAATACCATTCAAATCAACCATATGATGTTTAATTATCTATGCATACATATGCTTATATGTATAATTATAGAAACTGTCATGAAAAACCAGGAAATTACAAATAAAAAAAATTAGAATTAAGTTTAAAAGTGAGAAAAAAACAGTGAGATAGGCATATTCTATTAGTGAGGGGTACATGGGACTTTAGTATATTGATAATGTTGTCACTTAAGTTAGTGTTGATTATTTTGAGTATTCACTTTATTATTCTTTTAAATTTTTTTTTATTTCAGCATATTACAGGCGTACAAACATCTAGGTTACATATATTGCCTTTGTCCCATCTAAGTCAGAGCTTCAAGAGTGTCCATCCCCCAGACAGTGCACACCACATTCATTAGGTGTGTATATACCCATGCCCTCTGCCCCCCTCCCAACTGTCCGACACCCGATGAATGTTATTACTATATGTGCACTTAAGTGTTGATCAATTAATACCAATTTGCTGGTGAGTACATGTGGTGCTTTTTTTCCCATTCTTGTGATACTTTGCTTAGTAGAATGGGCTCCAGCTCTATCCAGGATAATACAAGAGGTGCTAGATCACCATGGTTTTTTTGTGGCTGAGTAGAACTCCAGTGTACACATATGCACATTTCATGAATCCACTCATGTATTGATGGGCACTTGGGTTGCTTCCCCATCTTTGCAGTTGTGAAGTTCACCACTTTCTATGTGTGGGATTTGTGACTCCCACAAACAATCACAATAGTAACATCAAAGATCACTTATCACAAATTATCATAAGAGATATGATAATAATGAAAATTTTGAAATATTGCAATAATTGCCAAAATGTGACACAGAAACAGGAAGTGAGCACATGCTACTGGAAAAATGGCACAAACAGACTTGCTTGACACAGGGTTGCCATAAACCCTCCATGTAAAAAATGTAATATTGGTGAAGTGCAATGAAGCAAGCACAATATAACAGGTATACCCATATATGATATACTGAGAAAACAAAACTGTGGACACAGTAAAAAATCATTGGTTTCTAGGGCTTTGGAGAAGGGAGGCATGAATCCGAGGAGTGCAGAAAATTTTTATAGCAGTGTAACTATTCTTTATAATACTGTAATTGTAAATATATTTTACTATACATTTGTCAAAATCCAAAGATAACACCGAGAGAGCCCCAATGTAAAGTATGAACTTGGCGTGATAATGATATGTCAATATGGGTTTATCAATTGTAAGAAATGTATTGCTCTGTGGGAGATGTTGATAGTGGGAAGGTTGAGTGGGGAGGGAAATGGATTAAATGGGCACTCTCTGTACTTTCTGCTCAATTTTGCTGTGAACCTAACACTACTCTACAAAATAAAATCTAATTTAAAAATTCTTTAAAGACATGGAAATTTTTATCAAAGATTGCATAATATATTCAGAAACAAAGGCATAGAAACCAATAATGATAATAACATGCGTTGTAGATAGGGTAATTGGGGTTAGTGGGTTCAAGGGAAGTTTTGCTGTGATTCTGACATTTTTGGTTTTTAGAAGAATTAGGGGAGAAAACATAGAGAGCACCATAAGAAAGATAAAGGAAGAATGTGCATTTCATATGTTTGGAGCAGCTAGTTCTTAGGCACATAAAAGCATGCTATAAGGGTAGGATGCTTGGGAGAAAAACCTGGGGAAATGGGAGAGTAAAGAAAGAATGAATTTGAAAAACAGCCATCGCTATTCAACATAGTCACTGCATGTCTCTGAGACTCAGTTTTCTTACCTGAAAAATCAAAGGGCAAGTGAAAGGGTGGGAAGATCAGATGATTCACCCAATCTTAAAACTGAGCTTATTCAGATCCTGTCTTCATGATACACAGAGAGAAAGAAATCCTTAAATAAGCTCATGCCACACTTTTGTCGCCAGCCAAAGCTGGGGGCTCAGGGGATTGTTTGCCAAATAATGAAAAGAGATGAGCAAGAACATACACTCTTGTTTCAGCTACTTCTCAGAGCTGCAGCACAATTTATGTTAACTGTTTGTTTGGGTAACAACAGTTTACTGTCAGAGTTATTCCTGCACAATTCTAAGAGCAAGCACACAAAGTTTAATTTTTGAGTAGCTTTGACATTAATATTTTATATTTTGCAGTAATTTTCTAAGAGGTAGGTTAACATGGCAAAAACCTTACCTAGTACATACTGACCTGCTAAGTCCTTTAAAGTATGAGCCATACAGTGAGATCAAAAGTACCTGGAGGAAGGAAGGGGTTATGGGATTCAACAGGAGGAGGATCTATTTTCATATGGAAACACAAACTTGTAGAGCTTGTAAACTTTGAAGGGTTGGGGAAACAGCGATAAACACAAAGTCATGGGTGTGCCATGCAAAAAATTAGTTGGGATAATTCTGTTTGTAAGAAAGTTGGATAAGACATGAATAGTGAATGACTAAAGTACATGATTGCTGTGCTTGAAAATAATGAAGAAGCCGGGTGCAGTGACTCACGCCTGTAATCCTAGCACTCTGGGAGGCCAAGGCAGGCGGATTGCTCGAGATCAGGAGTTTGAAACCAGCCTGAGCAAGAGCGAGACCCCGTCTCTACTATAAATAGAAAGAAATTAATTGGCCAACTAATAATATATGAAAAATTAGCCGGGCATGGTGGTGCATGCCTGTAGTCCCAGCTACTCGGAGGCTGAGGCAGCAGGATTGCTTGAGCCCAGGAGTTTGAGGTTGCTGTGAGCTAGGCTGACTCCAGGGCACTCACTCTAGCCTGGGCAACAAAGTGAGACTCTGTCTCAAAACAAAAAAAAAACAAAAACAAACAAACAAAAAGGAAAATAATGAAGAAGATGGTAGCTAAGACTGACACTATGTGTAAGACACTAGGATACATAGTTTCATATATTACACTATTTTACTTTGACAATAATCCTTTGATGTGAGTGCTACTACATATATATATATATGACCATTTTAAAGATGATAAAATAGGATTTAGCAAGATTAAATGATTTACCCAAGGTCACACAACTGGTAAATATGAGAATATTTGAATCCAGGCAGTCTTTCAAAAATTATTCTTCTTGTTACCTTATTTTATTGCTTTCATTTCTCTTAGCTCACCAGTTTCAATATTTCAAGTCTAAAATGAGCCAGAGGATCAGCTGACTATGAACGGGAAGAGATATCAGAATCCAGGCTCTCCCCACCCCCACCTCCCATCCCCCACCCGATGTGTAACACGTGTTCATTTATATCTTCTGGAACTAGTAAGATGGAAAGATACAAAATATGTCAGACCGCCAATATTTAAATTAATTCCAAGACTGCACTCTAAGCTGGCTAAATATTTACTGAGCATTCTATTGTTCGTTTCAGATCTGCAGTCAGGCTCCTGTCCAGCCCTGCTCAGTGAAGGGCTATGTGGTGAGCACCACGTGATAGCACAGCAGAGATGCAACGCCTGCAACGTGGAACTGGCTCACATCGGAACAGTGTAGGTAACCGTTATCAAATCTACCAAAATTAAAGCCCCCAAACAAAGTCTGTTTCTTGTGCAGAAAATTGAAATTATCCCCAAACCTCCTTTACAACTTTTTACTCAGCTCCATGTGAGCCAGAAGGATTAGTGAGGTGTCTTGGTGGAACCTTCAGCAGCTTCAACCTGAAGGTGCTGTTCCCTACATCTATGGGGGCTTTTCTAAATCTTCCAGTGTTAGACTAATCTAACTCTAAATTATTCATGTGTCCCAATTCCAAATTTTCAAAAATTAGTAGTCCACATAATAACATAAATTCATCAGGGTCAAACCCATAAAATTTAGAAATGTAAGCAATTTCTTAGTTTCCAAGCAATTTATCTGTAGCAAAATAACATTATTAGAACCCAGCACATATTGTCATCTGAAGATGCATTACTATTTCCAGGTAAAATGATATTATCTTAGTGAAAGAATTTAGATGGAGGAAGAAAGAAGAAAATTTTTCTTGATTTCCACATCATTAGGATATCTAGTCAATTAGTACCTATCTTTCAAAGTCTTTGATGTTTTCTTAAACTCCACTGGGAGAGAACTCCCTCGAAACAGTAATTGGGCTTCTGTGTGATCTTAACAAAGACTTTCAGAATCCAGGGCTTTCTTCACCCTGTGGATATGCTCTTAGCTCTTCTAAAATTCACTTGGGATTTAGAAGCCCAATAAGAGGTAATAATGTTGGTTTTATGTTCCTTCAGAAAACTTCCAATTTTTTTATTTGCTTTTTTTTTTTTTTTTTGGTAATTGAATCATCTCCACACCATTTGGATTCTATTACTTTTCTCCCAATATCATTTTTCTGTTCCAGAGTTCACTTTAGGATACCCCGTTACCTTTATTAGCATATATCCTCAAGCTATATTGTGCTGTGGAAGTTTCTCAGACTTCCCTTGTTCTTGCAGAGCTTGATAACTTTGTAGACTATTGGTCAAGTATTTTGTAATGTCTCTCAATTTGAGTTTATCTGATGTTTTTGCATGCTTAGACTCGAGTTATTGGTTTTGGAGAGAAAGACCACAAATGTGAAGTTTCATTCTGAAGGCAGCATTTTTTTAAGGGTCCATGCTATCAACCTCACTTTATCACAGATGACGTGAAACAGGATTACCTGGCTAAGATAGTGTTTGTCAGAATTCATTGCTCTAGAGTTAGATTTTCATTTACGTCCTTTCCATAGTGTACTTTCAGAAATCAAGTCACAACATGTAGCTCATATTTAAGAGACAGAAAATTATACTCTATCTCTTTGAGGGTGGAAAATTCGAGCAAATTAATTGGACTTCTTGTGTTTCAGAAAATGGTCTCTTCTTCCAATTTATTTATTCATATCAGTGTGGAATAATGGACATTTATTTTTTACTTTGGGTTATAATCATTTCAGCACTTCATTTATTGTGCTGCCCAAATTGTTATAGCTTTGGCCATTGGAAGATCATTCAATTTGGCATCTATGTCCCCTTGACCTAATATCATCTTTTTATTTTTTGAGTGTTTCCTCACTTTCTGGCATGACGAGATGTTCCAGATTTATGCTGTGCAGTCCCTGTCCCAGCCCTGTAATCAATCATTTCTCTCAAGAATCATGAGCACTTTTATTGGAGAATTGGCATTACAAACCAAGATCTCAGTGCTAGTGCTGAATGTGCTTACACTTACCCCTTACAGGGATATCATTGCTTCTAGAACCTCTCAATGAACAGATCATTTCCCTGATGACAAACGACGTTGAACATTGTTCCATATTCTTTTTATCATCTGTATATCTCAACAATGCATTTCACAGGGCAGAAGTATTTAATTTTAATGATGTTCAACTTATTTTTTCTTTTGTAGATAGTCCTTTTGGTGAAGTATTTTAGAACTCATCACAAAACCCAAAATCATGCATATTTTTGTGTATATTTTCTTAAAAATTTTTTATTATTTTTCATTTTATCTTTAAGTCTATGGTACATTTTGAGTTAATATTTTAGAAGTTGTGAAGTCTGTATAAAGGTTTTTCTTTTTTAAAATATAGGCATCCACTTTTTCAGCACCATTTATTGACAATATTGTCATATTTCAATTGCCTTTGCATCTTTATAAAAATTATTTGATTACACTCTATAGGTCTATTTCTAGGCTCTCTTCTGTTTCAAAGATCTATCTTTGACCAATATCATGGTATCTTGATTATTGCAGCCTTACAGTAAATTAAATTTGACTATTATGAATACTTCAATTTTGTTCTTTTTTTTCAGAATTGTAGTGTGTTGTTTTGCCCTTTCATATAAATTTTTGAATCAATTCATCAATATCTACAAAAAATTTACTGGGATTTTGATTATGATTGCACTGAATTTATCAAATTGGGAAGAATTGGCATTTTAACAATATTCATTATTCTAATCCATGAACATGAAATGACTCTTCATTTATTTAGGTCTTTGATTTCTCTCATGTGTATTTTGTTTTCTGTGTACAGCTGGATCCTATACGTGTTTACTTTCTCTGTTGCTTTCTCCTTTTCAATTTATTGATTTCAGCCCTAATTTTTATCATTTCCTTTACTTCTGCTTGCTTTAATTTGTCTTTCCATAATTTAAAAAGTAGCAGTTTAGATTATTGATTTTAGAGATTTCCTTTTTTCTACTATATGTACTTAATACTATATAATCTATCTAAGCACTGCTTTAGCCGCATCCCACAAAATTTGATAAATTATGCCATTTTTATTTATTAAATATATTTTTTAAGTTCTGTTGAGATGCCTTCTTTTACCCATAGATTTAGAAGCGTGTCCTTTAATTTAAAATATTTTGATTTTTTTAGCTTTTTTGTTGTTGATTTCTAGTTTAATTCTATGATAGGCTGATATGTGAATGATTTATATTATTTTTTAAGTTAGTTAAGGAGTGTTTTATGAACCAGAATGCTTGAGTAGAATGTATATTCTACTTTTTTTTGATGAGGTGTTCTATAAATGTCAATTTTATCAAGTTGATTGATAGTGATATTCAGGTCATCTATAGCCTTACTAATTTTCTGCCTACTTTATCTATTACTGAGATATGGGTGTTGATATCTATAATAGTATAATATATAATATAATACTATAATGGTAGGTTTATCTATTTTTTAATTAATTCTATTATTTTTGCCTCTTGTAAATTGATGCTCTGTTGTTACATGAGTAAAAATTTAGGATTGTTATGTCTTCCATAATTGATTCCTTTATTATTGCATAATGCTCTCCTTTATTCCTGATAATTTTACATGTTCCAAAGTTTGCTGTTTTGAAATTAATTTACCTACTCCAGCTTTCTTTTGATTAGTATTAGCATTGTATATTACTCTTTTTAAACTATGAGAGTCTTAATATTTAAATTGAGTTTCTTATAGAAAACATATAGTTGGATTTTTTTTGCCCACTCTGATAGTCTCTTTCTTTAATTGGTATATTCGGACCATTCATATTTAAGGTAATTAATCATATATTTGGATTTATATCTACTATATTTGTAATTATTTTTCTATTTACTATATTTTTCCCCCTCTCTTTTTCTTCTTTTCTGGTTTAAAATGAGCATTCTATACAATCTCACTTTATGCCATCCCTTAGCATAGCAATTGTACTCCTTTTTAACATTTGTTTTTTAATGGTGGTCTACATTTTCTACTATATCTTTTTAACTGATCTAGATATTCCTTCAAATAACACCATACTGCTTCCCGTGGTGTGCAGGATCTTGTAAAAAAATATTCCTCCCTCCCATTTCTTATGGCATTGCTATCATTCATTTCAATTGCCTCATATTACTTTACATGCTTTTTATATGAACCAATATATTGTTACTATTGCAGTTATCTTTCACCTCAATAAACACTAAGAAAAATAAAATAAAATAAATTATATTATTTTATGTATTCCTTTCCTGATACTCTTCTTTTCTTTATATAAATACAGATTTCTGGCCTATATCATTTCCTTCTGCCTGAAGAACTTCTTTTGAGAATTCTTTCAAGAATGCTCTACAAGCAATATATCCTCAATTTCTGTTGTTGAGAAAGTTTTTATTTCTCCTTTACTGTCAAAGGATACTTTTGGTGGATATAGAATTCCCGGTTGGCAGGGGTTGTTTGTTTTTCTTTTCAACAGTTGAAATGTTTCACTTTACCTCTCATTGTTTGAATCTATTGTAATTCATTATAATTATTTTTTCCTTGAAATGTTTTATGATTCCTTGTTCTTCTGTAGCTAAGGGCACCCCCCTCCCAGTTCCTTCAAGGTTTTCTTCATTTCTGTGATCTTGTTCTTTATTTCTAACATGTCCTTTCGATTTTTGTTATAGTTTGCATATCTCTGCTGACATTACTCCTCTGGTCTTGCATGTAGTCTACTTTTACCTTAGGGCCCTTAACACATTAATCATAGTTACTCCAAATACCTTATCTGATAATTGCAACATCTATGTCATATCTGCGTATAGTTTTGATGATTGTTTTGCCCCTTTAAACCGGTTTTTCTTACCTCTTGTTATGCCTTGTAATGTTTTTGTTGAAAACCGGACATATTTCATAAGGTAATATGAACAGAAGTAAATAGGCTTTTAGTATAAGGATTTATATTAATTGGGCTAGGAATTGGGCTGTGTCTAGTTTTTGTTTGGGGGTTTATTTTGTATAACTTTAAGCACAATATTTTGCTAATTTCCATGGTGAGTTTGTTTTTCTTCATTTTGTTTTGGCTTTGGGACTTCTCTTTGTGCTCCTCTTCACAGCGAGTCTGTGTTTTCAGCTCTTTCACTTGTAACCCACCAGTGATCTCACTGTAGGCTCATTACCATGTTGATAGCATATGAAAAAGGAGGGGTATGATCTCTCTCACCATATATATATATATATATATATACACACACATATATATAGTCTTCATTGTCATATATTCTACACACATATATGTATATATAACTTAATGCAT